GTTCGTGCGAATCTAAAAGTTCCTAGTGTTGATGAAACGCCCCCCTGGTTGCCATCCATGCCATATGTTTTCAGCTAAGATAATACATGTACCAGCAATGGAAGTGCAGGAAATGTGTAGGAAAGCATGCATGTCCTGTACGTCATGATATCATACATGCCAACTGTTCAGATTAAAGAGGAACATTCCTCTTTTTGGGAGAAGATAATTATCATTTTAATGCAGGTGTTCCTCTTCCTGTACAATTTTGTCTGTAGTATTGAATAGGAGAGTTAGGATTGTTCCTCTTTTTGTTTAAAATAGCATAATTTGTACAGATTTCTGATTTTCAAATGTTGGCATGTATGTGATATTCTAATGTACCTATACAATGTGCTGTGCAAAAAAAAGGCTCATGTGCAGGTTACAAAGTGTGTACAACACGGCTCAAATGACCCCAAATATTCACAGATCTTTTAAACATGGAGAAGTCAGACTTTGTGCAATTTAGAGAAATCACTGCCAAAGTCATGGAGGTGTTTTATGAATAACTTTTGTTTGCCCTCCTGAGAAAAAAACTTCCACCTGTGTTCCATAGAATGTATTGTGAGCCATAAATGAATAGATTACATAACTTTCATGAGCACATATCCAGTATTTTTCCTGGGGGATTTACAATTTTGTACAAATGACCATTATCTGCCCAAGCCCAGATTGTATCTACAAACTGGATTATTGGAAGCTCTCTAGAATTGTACAGGTTTGACACACGCTACACTATTCTTCTTTTTTTCTTTTCCCTTTTTTCCACCATTTTTTTCTTTGTTGCTTCATCAGTTAGGTTAGGCAGATCATTGCACCATGACTGTGAGCAAGGCTTAAAAGTGTAAATGTTTTATATTTTATGTCATTGAAGAGAATGGATGCAAATGGGACACAGAATCATGTATATGTACTTGTATCTGAAGAAAAGATAAGAAATATAAGTTCTGTTGGTGAATTTACATCTCTATTGAAGAACTATGTGGGGCTTTTTTTTCCTCCTTTTTTTTCCTGGTAAAGAAAGTAAGATAAATAAAGAATTCATTCTTACAAAGCTGTACAAACATTTATCAAATGGTTAAAATTCATGAGATGAGAAAAAAAAGAGTTCTTTTGTTTTTGTAATAAACTGTCTAAGTGATATAAAGAAATAAATGAACTGATTGTATTTGTATTTATTCTGACTTTGTGTTAAGAGTTTATATTTCTTCCTCTGAACCAAAATAAGAATTCCGGACATGTGCACTACCCCCTCCCCCCCCCCCCCCCCCACCAAAGAATTCTGGGTCTTCTGATGCTATTCTTACAACACTGTCTCTCTTTCTTCCGCAAATACCCTCCATTCCCCACCCTCTACCTCTCTCTCTCTGCCTTTTTCTATTTTGCTCTTTCACTCTCTTTCTCGTCAAACTCTCAGTCTTTCCTCGCCTACTATTCTTTCGTCCATCTCATATTCTTTCATCCGCCTATTATTCTTTCGTCCATCTCTTATTCTTTCGTCTATCTCTTATTCTTTCATCCGCCTACTATTCTTTCGTCCATCTCTTATTCTTTCATCCGCCTACTATTCTTTCGTCCATCTCTTATTCTTTCATCCGCCTACTATTCTTTCGTCCATCTATTATTCTTTCATCCGCCTACTATTCTTTCGTCCATCTCTTATTCTTTCATCCGCCTACTATTCTTTCGTTCATCTCTTATTCTGTCATCCGCCTACTATTCTTTCGTCCATCTCTTATTCTTTCATCCGCCTACTATTCTTTCGTTCATCTCTTATTCTTTCATCCGCCTACTATTCTTTCGTTCATCTCTTATTCTTTCCTTCACCTACTATTCTTTCGTCCATCTCTTATTCTTTCCTTCACCTACTATTCTTTCGTTCATCTCTTATTCTTTCCTCCGCCTACTATTCTTTCGTCCATCTCTTATTCTTTCCTTTGCCTTCTATTCTTTTGTCCATCTCTTATTCTTTCCTTCACCTACTATTCTTTCGTTCATCTCTTATTCCTTCATCCGCCTACTATTCTTTCGTTCATCTCTTATTCTTTCCTCCGCCTACTATTCTTTCGTTCATCTCTTATTCTGTCCTCCGCCTATTATTCTTTCCTTCACCTGCAAAATACGTCAGTGCAATACAAGAGCTTGTAAGAAATGTATTATGATATTCTTTTTCATAATCAAACATGACTACTTGGGCAAATGATCTTAAAAGGTAACTTATTTTTCGTTCGGAGTGGGTTCACCCCTTTATATTATTTACATTCATTACATTCATCATTTTTTGATCCCTTAAACTTTTGTTTCTCTCTTTAATTGCCCTCAAAACTCGTTTGGTAAATACTGCTTTCCAGTCTATCTGTTTAGATATAAGTTGTTTCATGTGTGTGTGTGTGTGTGTTTTCTCAAGCTCTTACTTTTCTTCTCTTTTCGGAGCATATTAGTCAGGTGGAGTTGGCACATCATAATAACTACTTCATGTATGGATTTCAGCTTATTCATTCAGGATCCCATCTTCACAAGTTAAAATGCAGTCTTTTAAGAGAGCCCTAGACAAACGATCACAACACACAAACATCAATGATGTATGACATCGCATACAAAGCACAATAAAGTAATATAAATTCATATTTTATCTTTTAATATGATGTGAAACTTAACTAACTTCTATAAGCAATATTTTTTTCATGATACATTTTTATATAAGCATTTTATTTTCGTCTGTACGTATATATTATTCTTTTAGCATTTAATAATAATAATAATGACAGTAAAACGCTTTTGTATAGCGCATAACACAATGGCATAATAATGCATGTCTCAGTGCGCTTTACAGAACAGAATACAGAAGGAGTGGAAATGGTACACTGGGTTCATAATTGTGAGATCTTACAAAGTGCTAAATAGATGTGTTTTTAAATTACTGTTGAACTTTTCGTACGTTTCTATATTTCTAAGGTATTCGGGCAAGTTATTCCATAAAAGAGTGGCTGCATATGAAATCACTGTACATCAACTGCTTTCTGAAAAGCACCCTGCTAAACGTGGATCGAAGTTGTAGTTTTGATACCCTATACAGGGAAACCCGTCTAACATCTCCAATTTTAGACCCTGAACAGGTATTTTATTAATTATATTGCATGGTATCCCTATTCGAGGATTGCTTCCTCCTCAATAGACTTTTTTGGGCAAAAAAAAGGAAAAGTATTTCCACGCCTTTTAATGTCATATTGGACCTTCTGCTCCCGACCGGATATATCCTTTTCTCATTTTTACCAGTGAATTTATAATTATTTTCACCGATTGAGAGAGGGTGTTTGTCGTAATTAGCAATAACCGATGTATTTGCAATTTACATTCTGTCTATCGAAACTACATATTGTTTGTACAAATTTGAATGCATTTTGAAAAACGGCTTATTGCTCCTCTCTCACTGTCGATGGTTCTCCACATTGATGTGTTACATCAATCTGTGTAATTATTCCCTCTCTTACTGAACTAATTTTTTTTTTGTCTAAGGTGATATTTTTGTACAATAATCCTAATATTCCTGAGCATGCATGCTCAATAGAATTTATTCTTGAATATTTAACGACATTGCCTAAATTTATTTTGATAACTATACTTATTCACACCTTTGATACATTTGTCTAAATCGTATATAATATTGCTGTGTGATGTAACCAATGTTATTTTGTTATATTCCTTTTGCATTTTGATGTTTGTCTTATAATAATATCTGATTACTTTGTAAAACAGACAATGTTATTCTTAAGCTGCATTTCATGTTTTTACTTAATAAACCAATTCAATTCAATCTAATTCAATTCATTTCCTCTATCAATCTCTTTTTATATCACAAAATAACCATTCCATTAAGACTCATTATGTAGTCTCTTACACAGATGTTAATAAAATCCGGTTAAATTAAAGATTATTCTTACATCTACATGCGCACATTCTTAATATGGAGCCTTATCATACTACGCATGATGTTACATTTTAAAATTATCTACGATTAAAAAAACTGTATCACCACCTCATCAAGAGCATATTGTAAGAAACATAGGGCCCGCTTGAGTTTTATTTCATAGTCATGTCATTAAAAAATGAAAAATAGACGGTAGAAAAAGGTACATGACTTTGTCTGTGCGAATTATAAGCTGATTTTTTTTCTCAAAGGAATGAATAACCTCTTTTATCAACATTTCTTTCATAAAAATGGTACCTCACATTAATATATGTTGGAGATGTCACTACACTTGAAATCTTATCAATTAAATTTCACCAAGTTGTCTACAAAATTATTTACACACACAAGTATTATATGTACACCTCTTCCACATAACGTGCAAACTCCGCCGACCAAAAAAGCAGCTTAGACATGTGTACAGGATAATGGACGACGCGGCGCCGTTTCTGAGGCGCCAACTTGTGGGTGAGTGCAGAGCGTACTGAGAGAGATAGTTGTGACACGCGTGTGGTATGCGTACGCGACTGTGGTCATAGATTAAACATTTAATTAATCATGGAGCTCCAAATATTTCCATCCAAGGAGGGAACTGTTTGGAGCTCAATGAAATTACTGACCAATCATGAGCAACTTCCGCTGTTGCGATTATCTCGAACCCACTAGCTACATGTACATGGATGTGCGGAAATTTGCAATGACAGCGGCGCGCGGCGGCGGGACTAATATCGTTCGTGAGTTACGTCTATACGGTGCGCCATTTGGCGTTGCCGTGGTAAAATAGTTACCTATAAGTGGGCGAGTGTAGGCATGCTCTGGTGAAATAATTCGAAGCATTGTGGTTGACTTTGTGGTAGGCCAATATATTATGCTGTTACAACATTTAAAAATTATTGTCCTTTTTCCTATTCCTTCTTTTTCCTCTTCTTCTTTTCTTCTTTCCCTTTTCCCCTCGATTTTGGGGTCTTTTTCTCTTTTTCTCACTGTTATACTTATTTCTGTTTTCTTCTCCTTTTGCTTCTTCTTCTTCTTCTTCTCCTGTCACCTGTAATGTTATCCTGTAGGATAGGGCAACTAATTCAGACACTTAAAATTGCTTTCCATTGAATTAGTGCAGTTAGATAGGTAGTTCCAGTACTCCAAACTTATGCTGTCTCTCCGTGCGATTATCCCTGCCAGAATGGTACCCACAATTGGGAAAAGCCCTGTCCATACCAGCGGGAAAGACGCCAATGTGTCTATCTGAGTCGCGTAGCTCAAAACTTCATTCCAAAACAAAATTTGATCTTGAACTTTGCATTTGACGAGGACACGGCGGAATTTTGTCCAAAGAGACTCCAGGTCGATTCCTCCGATAGCATAAATTGGCACAACAAAAAACATAATGTTTTCGATCCAACGCATTGTTAGCATAGAGAGGTCTCCTGAGGTAGCCATGGGTAATTTACAGTATGTCAAAATGGCGCAGCAAAAGGTATGGAAGGTTACAGTTAGCAAGGTAAAGGCCATCAACCGTCCTGTAAAATATCGAACAACGTGGAACTCCGAGTAGATGCTATCGATCAATCTTCGAGCGCCATCGCAGTCTGTTTGCCCAGCCAGTTTTCTGATTGTGTCTAGTGCGTTGTTCAGTTGGCAATTCAAGTAGACGCGCTGGACGTACACCACATACCAGAAGCAACCATAGTAAAGATACAAGACTGGTTTGATGACGAGAGTCGCCATTTGCCAGTTGCTTTCACAACCAGTGAAGAACACCGAGAACCCAAACGCTATCTGTAGGATTGTGTTCAAAAGAGGAAACAAGAAGAAGATCAGGATCTCCATCATCAATAAACTACATGATTTCAAGTAGCATTTCCCAGAAGTATTGTAAAACGCTTGAACCAGTGTCACGCGTCTCACGCATGTGTCCATATCATAGGGCAAGGCATTGAAAGCAGGATTGCCCCTCCTAAAGCAAAGTTCCAAACGGGTGATAACCGTGTAGATGATGATTAAGAACGTTTGGAAGTTGAGACAAAGGAATGATGCCGTGTCCAAGAGATAATTATTATCAAGCTGTGTGTACATTAAGAAGAAGATTATGTCGACGACGAAGAATGCAACCAAAGCCTGTAATATGATGATGCATAGAACCAGGTATACAGAAATCCTTTTACCACATCCCTGGTGACATCCCTGGTGATCTGTGAATACACAAACATATGAAGATTATAATTTTCTCAAGTTATGATTGAAGATCAATCACTTCGTCCATTTTTTAACGAAGTGACGGTAATGAGGAAAATCGCATATAATTTCATTTTTTTTTGTTGCATTTTTGGACTTCATTCACTAACATCTTAAACCTCACAAAATTTCGAAACACAATAATATCTAATTTATGTCACTATAACGATGACATAAACAAGAAAATACCTAGTAAAAGAATTTCCTGTTTTCACGAAGTGACGGCTAAATACGCGCTGCGCTCATCCCTTTCGATAAGTGTCCCCTTTTCTTCTCACCATTAAACGTGCCCTAATTCCAAGCGATTAAGATCAATTTCCTCCAAAGCTCGCCCGCTACGCTCGCTCGCATTTATAGATGTTTTAATTATGTTACTTATTTAAGGTCTTTTTAGTCTTCCGTTATGAGAATGTGCTAACCCATCATGATTGGGTTTTTCCTCTTTATAAGATTTTTGCACTGGGACCTAACAACTCTTAAAATTAATCCTCGCTCGCAAATGAATTTTCAGACCACCACACCCAACTGCAAAGTATGATGCTTAAGCAATATGTTATATGAGGTATAAAGAGAAACAAATAGTGATAATGTAATCACAATATAGGGGTATATACCAATGCCAAAAAATTGTACATTTTCGCTTTGCGATTTCCCTTTGAAGGTGCCCCTTTTCCCCAGAAAGTGCCCTTTTTTTGTTGGTGCCCCCCCCCCCCCCCCACTTTAAAAGTCGCTCCGCCGCCTCTGCCGCCAAATAATCCGAACAAAAGAATCAACTGAGGGTAATCAACTATTAAACGAATTTATCATGAGTCCTTGGAAAATTAATTAATACTGCTTGTCAAGTATAATTTAAGAGCAGCAAAGGCAAACGCGATTGTAATACTGCTGCTTATACTACATTAGGTTCCTTTAGTAGGCTAAAGGAAGAAGAAGGGGAAGAGGAAGAATCGTATTGTTTATTTTCTGTATTATCGAGGCATACAAATGCAAAGGGAGGTAAGAGAGGGAAAAGTAAGGCGATAAAGAAGGAGAGAGAGGGAGAGAGAGAACGAGAGGGGGTAGCCTATGGCCCGGGTTCAAATTCAGTTCTCTCCAATTTATTTGACCCAGTACTGATGATCATAATTGTATCTACCATGATTGCCATGTGTACGCCACACCGAATAGTTATAAAGAAATTATTGGCATGCACCCAGAAGATTTTCATCATGTGTAGAAAACAAGATCAAACACATCATCATAATCTACAGAGTGCAACCAAAAACTCCTTAACAACAATTGAAAAAGGAAGCCTAACATTATGGTTTTTTTATTCAAAGAGCATCGTAGAGACGATGAACAAATAATAATGATAATACAACGTCGTTAAGCGTGAGACCGTTCACTTCTATCTCTCCCCGCCAAATAATCCGAACAAAAGAATCAACCGAGGGTAATCAACTGTTAAACGAATGTATCATGAGTCTTTGACAAATTAATTAATACTGCTTGTCAAATATTATCGAAGAGCAGCAAGGGCGAACGCGATTGTAGCTACAATTCAGGAATCATTGCTTGGATTGCTTTTCTCTCAAAATTACCGTGAGATATCAAGCTACATAGAACTATATGATCGACAAAAAAGATATTGTCTTGAAAACAGTCAGAAACATTATAACTTGAATGAATAAAACATAATGCAAATGAATAAGACTAGAATTAATAGGACACAAGTTCATTTTTACCATTCAAATCATCCAGTACCAAATACCTAAGCAAAATTCAAACCAAATGCATTTAACGGTAAGCTTCAAGACAATGATTCTGTCGTGAATGAGTTTGTCGTGTAAACGTTTTGCAAAAGATAATCAGGATAATCAGGCTACGAGCCGTCATTTCGTGAAAACGAAATCAAAGCGTTCTATGTAATTTGTGTTTTCACGAAATGACGGTTGTATTAAAAGTTCAAACAGAGGAATAAAAAAAGCAGTTACAGAAAGAGAAAAATGTACTCTATCTCGTAGTTCGAGTTATTTTATCTGTACGTCAATTAAACATAACGTTTTTCCGTATTTAGTGTCCATTTCGGGAAATCCATCCACGAGAGAAAAATCCCGTATGTTTTACGGGCGCGGCTACGAGCCGTCACTTCGTGAAAACAATATTACACCGCGTCCTTGAATTTCGTGTTTTCACGAAGTGACGGTTATGTTTACAGCTCCTTTCCCCCAAAAATATAAGAAATTATGGAAATAATTAAACATAGAACTAAACATTGAGATGTTCTATCCCATGATATAACATTTAATGCTCTTGATACATTAAAGAGGTTGAGATTATACATGTAGTTTGAAAGTTTGAAAACGATTTATTCAAAACTAACTTTCTTTTCATTTCGCGCTCATCCGTCACTTCGTGAAAATAGGGACGACTTATTTATCTTTGACGGATCAATGTCGCTAGAGCAGTGGCGTACCTGGGTATTCCGTCAGGGGGGGGGGGCAAGCGACCGAAACTAAACAAAAAGGCGATGCTAATTTTCAATTCTGGCGAGCGAGCGAGCAAAGAAAAAAATCTTTAAGTAACGTTTGGTATATAAACTGGTATTGTTGCAAGTCGGGGTGGGAACATTCACTTGTTAGCGACGTTAATTTCATTTTTCGCAAACGAACGTAGCGAGCAAGAAAAAAAAACACTTCTTTTTAATACTTGGTTCAATATTGTCCCATGCAGGGCGCGGGAACAATATTGTGTTTAGGGTGATTTTATACCCATTTTAGCTAGCGAGCGAAAATACATCTTTCTCTCAATGAATTGCTATATCAAATTTGTTTCATTGTTGCAGGTCGGAGGCGGGCACAATCGTGTTTAAGGCAATGTCAATCCCATCTTGGCGGGCAGGCAAGCCCCTTTATTTCTCTTTTTTTATTGATATTGTAGCAGGTAAGTGGTGGGCACATAATTCCACGAGCTAGCGAGCGTAGCGAGCGTGTGAAAAAAATCACTTCTCTTTTATAGGGAAAATATGGTACATAAAACTTGGGTTCATTGTTCCATGTCAGGGACGTGATTATTAAAAGCGATGTTATTTCTATTTTGTCGAGCGAGCGTAGCGAGCGAGCAAAATTTTTGTTATGATAATTGGTTCATAAATTTCAGATTTTTTTGTTGCAGGTCAGGGCTTACAAAATCATGTCTAAGGTGATGTTAATTTCGTTTTGACGAGCACACCAAAACTTCTTTGAATAACGTTTGGTACATAATTATTAACTGGTTGTTGCAGGTTGGGGCGGGCACGTTAGCGATGTCAATTCCATTTTGGCGAGCGAGCATAGCGAGCAAGCAAAAAAATGAATAAGTCTCTTTTAGTAACATTTGGTACATACAGCGTGTGTTATTGTTGCCATGGTTGCAGGTCGGGGCCCGTCGGGGCAGGCACAATTGTATTCTAGGCAATGCTAATCCTTTTCTTTTTTCAGGGGGACGAGCAAGTGAAAACATTTAATACAAAATAGGCTAGCAAGCAGTTCGCGCCAGCGAAGAGTTTCGAATTTGTTATATCACTTATATTTTTCCTATTTTCATTTGTCTTAATTTTTCAGGGCCGTATGCGGAATATTTTTCTGGTGGGGGAGGGGGAAAGATGTGTTAAAAGTTTTCGATTAATCTCAAAAGCGAAAGGAGTGAAGGGAGTTCGAGCGACCGAACTGGTCATGAGGGTACTTTTGCATTTTCAAAAGTAGAATTGAAGGATTTGGTATAGGCCTACACTACATTTTCAGGAAAAAAACTGTACGTTTTCAAAATATCTGGGGTCAACTGCCCCCCCCCCCCCGGTGCGTACGGCCATGGTCTTTTTTTAATTTATTTTTTTATAATTTCCCCATTTTTTTTTCTTTCCTTTTCTTTTCCCTTTTCTACCTTTTCTCTTCTTCTACCTTTTTCTTTTCTTTTCCTTTTTTTCCTTTTTTCTTTCTTTTCTTTTTTTCTTCCCTTTTCCTTTTTTCTTTTTCTTTCCTTTCCTTTCTTTTCTTTTCTTTTTTCCCCTGGAGCCCGTCAGGGGGGCACTCTGCCCCCTGCCCCCCCCTTAGGTACGCCAGTGCGCTAGAGTATTATAATGTCGAAATAGTCCAGTGCAGCAATAAGACTTAAGAAGTAAATAAAACCTCAATTGCTTGGGTTATGACAGTGTTTAAGTTTCTATAGACATGACATACCTTAGAATTTCAATTTTGTACACAAGCTTTCATCCATCATGACTTGTGGAGTTTCTGAAGTCCATTGATTGATTCTTCACTGCATATGGGTACACCCTGTTGCATATCTTCACCCAGTGATCTCGAGGCAATTATGACAGGAAAGACTTACCTTGAGAAAGTCCATAAGAGAGGATGAACGGTTGTCTACTAAATTGAAATTCTAAGGTACGTCATGTCTTAACCCAAACCGCAATGAAAGCTTTCTTTCTTTCTATTTAAAAGTTCTACTTCTTACTGTCATATGCCTCGAGATCACTGGAGTGAAGATAATTATGCAGCAGGGTGTAGCCATATACAGTGAAAAATCAATCAATGGGCTTCAGAAACTCCACAAAAGTCATGATGGATGAAAGCTTGCATGTGTACTCGATTCTATTAGTTTGGCATGCAAAAGCTCATTGAGCCTGTTTGTGGAGGATTTCATGAAATTGACCTTAATATATTTGTCCAAATATATATATAACTTTCTGATTAACCTTTCTGATGTTGACCATGAGCTTCTCTCCGTTGTTCGGCACCTGTCGTATTTGGTTCCTTGGTATTGGAAGGACTCCAGAACTCTGCCTTTGAAAGATAATCTGGACCATTATCTGTACTGTTCGAAGAAACACAAGAACAACCACAAAAACACCAGAGACCGGTGATCGTCATCGACATGGCAATTAGAAAGGGCACCTCGTCTTTGTCATGACCAATCAATGGAATCGTCTCCTTGGCATTACGCCCTCCCGACGTCGAGCAAACAGCGATGCCAGGTTGATCCTCTAATTCGACGGTACTGTCGCTTGAACTTAGATCTTCAACTTGTTTGGATTCGTTACTGGAAGAGTAGATAGGCAATGCCATATCTTGTCCACAATATTATTGAACAATGATTTGAAATGTCTTTGCAAAGCTTGATTTGATTCGTCGCTCCGAAAACCTGATACTACTTAGAGATTGCCAAACCTTACATAGGACAAAAAAAATTGTGGGAATCGGGAAAGAACAACGCATGATTACGTCGGTTCCGGTTCCATATACGTAAACACATACTGGACTTTTTGAAGAAGGAAGATATATCGATCATAGCTATAGCTCGGAAGTTAGCTACTGCATTATCAAAATAGGCAGCGACAGGAGTGGTTCTAGATTTCATTTCTTGGGGGAGGGGGGTGGTTGGGGGCTTAGGGGCTTAGGGGGTTATTGCATTCGGGGCTTGGAGAGTGATGTATTTCTTTTGGGGGGTGCATGCATAATTATGTAATACAATTGACAAACTTTGCACCTTACATGTTAAATCCAATGTTATTTTAGTCCAGGTGGATACATTCACAGCTACATGACTTGTATATAGGATGATTTTTCTCAACTTTCTTCTACAAACGTTTTTCTTGAGGCTGATGATAACCTACCTTTCTACTATAAATGTTGGTCATTGATTCCATATCAAAGGCACTGTAAAGGCCTATATGAAACAAATGGTTTTGGGGAAAAAATATTATCTTATACTCAGTAAGCCATTATTAGGTCCTACTCTTCCTTTTTTCGCAGAGAAAGGGGAATTATGGTCAGGCGAGTACTAGAAAGAAAAAGAGAGAGAGAGAGAGAGAGAGGGAGAGAAGAGAAAAAAGGAGGAGGACGTAGGAAGAAAAAGGAGCAGACAAAGAAACATTTTTGAAAATTGTAAAAAGACAAGGATTAAGAGTCGAGGCCGGCCGTACAACAAATCGTCTTCTTTCTCTAAATTGTTAATGAAACGTCAAAGCTTCCGCGCTTCGCACGGGTGGGGGAAAACTGAATTTAGACAAGGATTAAGAGTCGAGAGCGGTACAACGAATCGTCTACTTTCTCTATTGAAACGTCAAAGGTTCCATGATTAAGGAGGATTATGATGTATTTGAAACAATTCAGCTTTTGAGAATCCGAGAGGGGGGCGCTCAGCTTGTTACACCCTCCAACAGAGGTGGAGCTGTTTAAATATTGACCCTGCCAGCCAGTCTGTCACTCTGTATACGTCAAGCGGAATAGGGTTTTTGCTTTTAAATTTTCAGAATCTTTACCAGCTTTCTTGTCCATAATCATATAAGAATATCGATGGTTTAGCAGCTGCCATATTCGTGGATTTATTTCTTCCTTTGTTCTCATCTCACCGTTCTCAATATGTCATGGATTATGTTCTCTTGAATGAGACAAATTCCTTATCATCTGACCGGATGATTAGACGTTGCCTTCTGTAAAGCTCCCTAAGTTGTTATAGCGCCAGCTACGAACCGGTTATCAAATGGTTATAATTCATGAGATGAGAAAAGGTGTTCTTTTGTTTTTGTAATAAACTGTCTAAGTGATATAAAGATTGTATTTGTATTAATTCTGACTTTGTGTTATGATTTGTTTAATTATATTTCTTCCTGTGAACCAGAGTGAGAATTTCAGACATGTGCACTACCCCCCCCCCCCCCCCAACCAAAGAATGCTGGGTCTTCTGATGCAATTCTTACAACTTCAAATACACTCCCTTCCCCCACCCCCATTTTCTCTACCTATTTCTCTCTCTCTGTCCCTCTCTCTGTGTCCCTCTCTCTCTCTGTCCCTCTCTCATCTTCCTCTCTTACACTGTTGGTCATAATGGTGGAATAATTATTTTTACCCCAATTTATTGAATGATTTGGACAATGATTTAACCTAATAGATCTAGATAATAGTATACATTCTCAGATTTTATTGAATGACAATTGGGGAGTGTTTGTTTTGCGGGACTGCTAAAGCATGTGTGTGCTACTATGCTAATCAACTAGGGAACCTACGTCCTTAAGTCATAACTGACAGTAATGGGGATTAATGCCTCATAAAAGGGCACTAATATAGCACATCGACACGGTTTTGATCCTGGGGGTTTACAGCAACGAGGCCATTGCTTAGCCAATGAATCATGACTGTACGCAGCGGGCGCTAGGGTACGTCGATGCCCCCACAAAAACAAAAAAACAAAGAAAATGCAATAAATTTTCAATAATTCATTGCATTTCCCCCCAGTTCCCAACAGGAAAAATTCCTCTGTAGGGCCATGCATTATGGTTTAAGGCATGCCCACATAGAAGATTTTTTTTTTATGTTGGGGGTCGGGGCAAAATGCAATGAAGTATTGAAAAATTATTGCATTTTCTTTGTCCTCCAATCTTGCACTGGAGACAGTTAAATAATCTTGAAGCCTCTGTAATTATGTATATACATATATTACAGAAGACTCAATATTATTTAACTGTCTCCAGTGCAATATTAATCTTCATCGGTGTTTAAAGGGGTTCCCATGGAGCTTATCAAGACCAGAAAAGGAATGATTCGGTATTAAAAAGCAATTGTACTGCACAAAGCAATCCTTCCGTCTTTTGGTGCGTGCCTAGTGTTTTGTGCAAACTTCCACGCTGGGCAATCGAGCTGCCTTGTAGAGAGAAATATAAAGCAATCTTAGTGTTAGGATGACGGTTTGCATTACATAGAGTGTAATAGGCCTATATATATATATAGAGAGAGAGAGAGAGAGAGAGAGAGAGAGAGAGAGAGAGAGAGAGGGGGGTGAGGGGTCACCGTTATATTAAGAAAAAAAATTGTCTATAATTTTTTGTACACATTCCATGAAGCGTTGAACACTTTGATATTTATATCTGAACATCATTATTCACCAAGGAGTACTGTATTAATCAGTGATTTATACCTTGTTGTTGTTGTTGATTTATACCTTGTTGTTGTTGTTGATTTGGTTTTGTTTGGCAATCAGTCACAGTTGACTATTTTTGCCACACACTATTTTATGAATTATTAATATATATACATTATAAATTATGTACAATTTCATGTCATAAATGACTATTTTTAGGATTCTTTCTCTTTCCATCCCCTTTCCTTCCGCTTATTTTCTTTTTAGACCTTATTTTTTTTTTTTTAGAGAGAGAAAATTCAATAAATTAAAAATTTGGAAAGAGATGGCCTAGCCTAGCGAGTGTTTACGCGCACGTACGTGCGCGTTAAAATACCACCTCTCTATGCACATGTGTACTTTTGATTGTCATAGTCTTGTCCTAAAGTCGAAAAGGAGGCAGTAAACAAATAATTACGCTTAATTTATTCCACTATTTAGATGTATACCATAGTTTTATCCATGGTCTTAACATAACCGCCCTCATTAGTTTTGACTAAACATTCAAAAGAATGTATATAATAACAATACACAATTAAACACACAAACAAATACACACACACACACACCCACACACACACACACCTGGTAGGAATTTATTCCTTGAAACGCAGCGCGCGTAACAGCTGCACTGCTAAAGCCAGGGCAATTATGCTGCATTATTGTAGAGCGCTTAGAAACACTATGAATATGACTGACAAAGAAAGCGGACAAAATATACAGTTCCTCAGGTAGACAAAGGAACATCCCTTCACTGCTATTATGTAAAAAGTGAATATGCATGTGACACCTGTTCTACACATTTTTACATAAATAGCAGTGAAGGGATGTTCCTTTGTCTACCTGAGGAACTGTATATTTTGTCCGCTTTCTTTGTCAGTCACATTCATAGTGAGACTTCTGATAAAGTAAGTGTTAGGCGCTATATAAGCAATTATAATTATTATTTTACAAACAAAAATGTATACATACTAGTAGTGCATAGCAGCCGTTCCAACATTGTTTTCCTAACCGAAAATAGATATATTCGCCTCGCCATCCCTATGTATGAAGGTTTTCCCATTTCCTAAGGTGGTGTGGAAATGTACTTCGCTCTTCAGCTAAATTTCTTTCCTCTCTTTCATTTACCTCATTCTTCGTTTAATTTCTTGAGGAGTTGGGGGTTTATTTTTAGTTTTGCTATAAAAAAAATCATATATTTGATTAAAAGTATAATGTGATTAATTAACTGCTCCTTCCCTACATTTAAAACTTTTATGCCAATGTAAATTCACTCCCAGTTTATATTTTTAATATCCAATGAATTAAAAAGATCACCACAATCTCTCCAGAGAATTCTTATTGTTTCACACGTAAAAAACAGATGCTCATAGGCCTCTTCATTATTTTTTTTTATCACAAAAGGAGCATATATTACTAATTGAAAATTTAAATGCAAACGGATGTTTCCTAGTATATATAAGTTCATTTATTGAAATCCTCTTAACCTACTTTTTAAAGTACATTTTCTAGGTCTTAAAAATATTGTACGAATGTCTTTATCGGAGTAATTATATCTCCTCTCCAAACGTTCAACTGCATATGACTTTTCTATTTTCATATTCAACAATGCCCCATATATATTTTTCGATGTTACGTCAATCAAAGTATTAACTCTTCCATTAAACACAAATCCTAAATTTAAATCAGTGTCCCTACACTAATAATTTTTCTTCAAGAAATCTTTCCTTGTCAATGGAATATTTTTAAATAGCTGGTGAAGCCCAATTATTTCTGTTTCATTTAACCCCAATCCTTAGAAAATCCCTAGTTAATTTAATTTCGCCTTCACCATTGACTATGATTAATTTCTATATTTTCTAAGAAATATATTTTCATCGAAGTACATAATGTCCGTCCAACGATTAAACTTATTGTTAAAATAATTTCATATCTTTTACATGTTTCCTTTTTAAGCAAAACCTCTTTCATAGCGGCCTAAACCGGGGCCTAAACTTCCAACATACTATAAAAGCTTGGCAAACATTACTAAAAAATATCAGTAGACCTCCCACCTCACGAGTCTTATATTAAAAAGATTGTCTCCATCCCATCTTAGAATCTCTTAGTATAAGTCTTGTTATCCACATAATTCTTTGTGTATAAACAAATAAAGGGAAGTCTATCATTTTAAGTCCTCCCTTTTTATAATTTATAAACAACACATTTCTTTTAATTTTTTTATCTTTCCCCTTCCATAAAAAACTCAAATATTTACTTCTCAATTTCCTTTAAAAACCCAAGGTGGTACTGGGGTAAGTGATGCCACATAATTTAATTTCGACAATACAA